CTCAGGAGAGAGGCTGTGTGTGGAGACACCAGTAACGGGCACAGAGGGAGTCACCTGTAAAAAAAACCACTGACCCAAGATGGAAACCATTTTCAGGCATGGAGGCGCACACCTGTGATCCTGGTACCTGGGAGACTGAGGCAGGAAGATTGCTGCCAGTTGGAGACCAGCCCTGGATTACACGGTAAAATCAAGACCAGCCTGAACTACATCGTAAGACCCTATCTCAAAAACCAGAAACCAAAGAAAAAGCAACTTATCCCAAACTACACGGATGTACACAGATTTACCAAAGTGACGCCCAGAATCAACAAAAGGGTATCTGTGTTCATATTTTAAGTCCTCACACTGTATAATACATTTTATCAAGGGGCCAAGGGACTCTTGACAAAAAGAAACCAGGTCACACCCAAACATACAGTCTGCACAACATTTTTACTAATTTTCATATACCTAATAATTTGTAGAGTATCACAGTCTCAAATGCCTCATTATTTTTGTAATACTAAGGATTGAACGCAGGGCCTTTGCAGGGAGCTACATCTCTGTCCTATTTTATTTTTTTATTTTGAAACAGGACCTCACTAAGTCACTAAGTATCCCCAGGCTGGCTCAAATTTGCAAATCTCTTGCCTTGGTCTCCCAAAGTGCTAGAATTATGAGTATCTATCACAAAGCCCTGGACAAGCAGTATTTTTATCTCACACTATTGTAGGAAGACTGTTTGAATTCCATTATTTTAATACATTTCTTGGGTACATTTGAGCTTGACAAAAAGAAATAGCAAGACCTTCGATGACAACAGGAAAACAAAAAAGATGTCAACCGTTTCCTACAAGAAAGGACAGGAAAGCAAAACAACATGCTATCAGTGTGATACTCGTGTATGGAACATGCAGGCTCAAGTGTGAAGGGCGCGTTGGGTGTTAACAATAGAGGGAAAGATTATATTTGTTGTAGAGTTCTATAGGCATTTCATTGTAGTTCGCATAGATTGTTATTTTTTTTTTAGATTGTTATTTTTGATATTATCTCAAGTTTTGTTTTTGTCTTTGTTTTTTCTGTGTTTGTTTTTTGTTACCGGGATTGAATTCATAACCTTGCACTTGCTGGCAGACACAACCACTGAGCTAAATCCCTGGTCCTTTGTTTTTGTTTTTGTCTTTTTTTTTTTTTTTTTTTTTTTTTTTGTCTTTTGCATTTTTATCGGTACCAGGGATCGAACTCACAACTGCCTGCTTGCAAGGCAGGCACTTATGCCACTGAGCTAAATCCCCAGCCTCCGTTTTTGTCTTTTTTGAGACAGGGTCTCACTATGTGGTTCAGTCTGGCCTTGGGTTCACTTTGTGGCCCAGGATGGTCTCGAACTTGCAATGATCCTCCTGCCTCAACCTCCCGAGTGCTGAGATTACAGAAGTGTGCCACCACCTCTGGCTCTTTATAGGTTTTGTAAGCAAATACACAGTTGATGTGAAAATGTTGATGTTTATCCTAAATGTGCAATACATATTAAGAATTTACTACTTTATTTTATTGATGTTTTATGTTCCTGTTAACCACATATTTTGTAATATAAGAACCTCCTGACAAGACCAGTGAGATGTCAACTATGTCCCACTAAAAGGCCACGAAAGCAAACCACATGTGCTGTCAGTGTAAACCATACATGTTTATAGAATGTGTGGTTGTCATGTGTGAAGACTGTTTTAGATGTGATAGTTGAAGTAGATTTTTTTGATTGATATTTGTATTTTCATTGTAGTTCATATAGGAATTTTTTAATTTTTTGGTCTTTTTGAGACAAGGTTTAGCTATGCAGTTCAGGCTGGCCTTGAGCTCACTTTGTAACCCAGGTTGATTCTGAATTTGCAAATGATTCTCCTGCCTCACCCTCCCAAGTGCTGTGAGTACAGAGGTACACCACCATGCCCAGCTTCTGATGCTCTTTTACAGACTTTGTACACCAAAAACCAGTCAATGTTGAAAATTTTGATGCTGTCTTGTAAACACTCAATAAATATTAAAAATGCAATACTTAGCTGGGCCTGATGCTTCACACCTATAATCCCAGCACTTGAGAGGCTGAGGCAGGAGGATTGTTGTGAGTTCAAGGCCAGTTTGAACTGCATAGTGAGACCCCATCTCAAAAAGATAAAACACAACAAAACCAAAGAAACACAATACTTTATGTTTGTGATTTTTTTCCTGTTAAGCACTCATTGTTTAATAGAACAGTAGGGATGTGGCTCAGTGGTAGGGTTCTTGCCTTGCATGCACAAGGCCCTGAGTTTGATCCCCAGAATGTAAAAAGAAAAAAAAATTTTTAAATATATATAGTGAAAAAAAATATATATATATATAGTAACTCTTAAAATTAATCATTCATCAATGGAAATATTCTAAAGAGTAAACACAGGTTTGACAGACCTGTTTATGAGACTTATAACAAAAAGTGTGTTATGCCTCACAAACCAACCTAGAGGCTGTCTGCCCAGCCGGCATCTTCCTCTGCTATGCACTGCCAGAGAGGCCTTACATGTAGAAAGGTTAATCCTAAAACAATAATAAAAGACAATTAAAAGTTTTCTTAAAAAGGCGAATCCTGAAGCTCTCTGTCCACCATTCTCTGTCCCCTCTCTGAGGTCCCTCTCTAAGGTCCTGAAGCACCTCTGCTGTTCTTGTTAACCGGGTTCTCTCTCCTCTCTTCCGTATTCCCCATGTGTTCCCTCCCACTTAAAAAAGCTCAGCGTGCTGCCCTGGTTTCCTTGGGGAGTTATCCCATCCCCAACGGGGGCCTTTCGGTGTGTATCACTCCCATAGTCCTTGTAAGTAGTTACTGTACCATTTAACAAACGCATCACCCTTCCTTAGACTACAGTTTTAATTCCAACGATATTCTCAAGTGCATGATTGACTGCACCCAAAATATTTCTTAAATTGTCTGGAAGTGTTAGCTTAGAAGTAGGGCACGTGTCTAGCATGTGCGAGGCCCTGGGTGCAGTCACTAGCACAAAATAAAAACATAAAACAATAAAAAAAAGGAAGAAAAAAGAAGGGGATGTTGCTCAGTGCTAGGACACTGGCTTCAAGACCAAGCACGGCAAACAAAAAGAAATAGACAAGAAACAAAACCCCTTTGTGCTGTGCTTTAGAAATGTGTAGTTACATACTAACTAGGTATCAGAATCATTAAAATCTTGGGGTTGGGGATGTAGTTCAATGCCACAGCGCCTGCCTGGCAAGCGCAAAGTCTAGAGTTTCGATCCCGGATACCAGAAAAAAATAAAATCTTGACTCGGTTTCCTTTAGGAGAAAAGCACGTTGTCTTTTCTCCCAATTTGGGAGCTGGGGAAACTAACTTCCACTTCCACTACTCGGTACTGCGCGGGGAATTTCTACTTGTGTGGATTCAACCTCAGGCATCTGCTGCGTGTTCACGGCCAGTGCTCCGCTCCGAGAGGAGCAGGCCCACGAAACGGTGGGTGGCGAGGGTGCAGACCTACCCCCTAAAAAAGTTACGATGCAAATAGAGAACGGGCTCGGAACTCAGAACAAAAGGGGGGCCTGCATAAGAATGCACTGCCGGGTGGGGGACGGGTCAGCAAAGCCGTCCCCGGAGGGGACAGCGGCCGGGCGGGCGGACCCCGGGTCTGCAGTTGGGAAGCCTGGAGGACTCGCCCCGGCCGGCCGAGGCAAACAGCGGGGCCAGGTCGGGGCGCGCGGGGCCGGCTGGGCAAGGCCGACCTGGGAGCCCTGGAAGGGAGCTTGGGGGTGACAGCTAATGGGGGGGGGGAACGACCGGGACAGCGCGCTGGCTTCAGAGGTGCTTTCTGCATTCCGTATGCATGCCCAGGCAGTAGGGGTACAAGAGCCTGTGCTTTCGGGGGGACAGGGAATTGCTGCGCCCTAAAACCTTCAGAAATGGGAGGATGCAGTTATGCAAATTCACCGCTCAGGCCTCTCTACTCCCAGAGCGACGCGCTGCGCTGTTGATCCCCACGTTCGTGGCCGGTATCCTTTCAAACGGGCACGGATCCGACCTCCTCGCTCTTCACTACCCCGCTCCCCAGGCCGCCGAGCCGTCTCCCCCGGGTCTACCCGGCCCTGTCACCCGGGTCTGGTCACCCTGGGCGGGGCTGCCGGGCTCTGCACCCACGAGGTGCCGCGCTGAGAACACAGCGGAGAGCCCCCAACAGTGCGGAGCTGGCCACCCCTCTGAGGGTACTGCTCCTTAATCCAGGTTGATCTCGAACTTGAGGGGATCCTCCTGCCTCAGCCTCCCAGGTGCTGGAATTACAGGCATGCGCTACCACGCCGGGTTTACTTTTGTTGCTTTAAAGTACCGACTTCACTATCTTAAATTGGTAAGTACAAATTAAGCAGCTTTAAACAGAGATCTCCACGCGTTCTTTTAAACTTTTTTTTGCAGACGCGGATTTTGCTCAGCTGCCCAGGCTCGCCGCAAACTCCTAGGCTCAAGCAATCCGCCTGCCTCAGCCTCCCCAACAGCCAGCGCGCGGCCCCGTTCTCTTTATTTATTCCCAGGCGCGCTCCACGCGGCCCCTCGAAGCCGAGGCTGCGCAAAGTAGCCCAATCGCGGCACTCGCGGCCTCTGCGGCCTACCCGGGAGGGGGCCTCCCGAAGGAAATCCTGCAGGGGGCCACAGGCAGAGTTTGAAGGAAACCGAACTGGTGCGCGTTGCCATTGACGATCTTCGCAATTCTGGGAACTAGTGTCCGAACACCGAGCTGGGCGCACGCCCGGAATCCCAGCTCTCGGGAGGCTGAGGCAGGAGAATCGCTAAGAATTCGCAGCCACCCTAGGCTGCCTAGTTCGAGGCCCTGTCTCCCCGGTCGACGGCTGCCAAAACCTCAACGTCCGCCCGGCAGGAAGCGTTTGTGGTCCACATCGACTTATTCGCGCAGGGGCCAGGCCGGGGTGTGACGCGTATTCCCCCCACCCGCCGGGGTCCCGCAAGGCGCCGACAGACGCTGGGGACGACGAGGGCGCAGGCGCGGGGCACGCGGAGGGGCGTGGCTTGTGGAGGACGCAGCGGCAGGGATACCCAGAAGGGCGGGGCCTACATGACGTCACGATGACGTCGCCCCTCACTGGCGGCTGCCGCGGCGGCGAACCCGCAAGCGGGACCCGGGGTTCGCCCTAAAGATGGCCGCAGGGGTCCGGGCCGGTGAGTGTGCGAGCGGCGCGCGGCGCAGGTTGGCTAGCGAGGCTGCCGGCCCCTGACGGAGCTCGGGTCGGAGGGCACCTGGCGGCGCTTTCCCGCGGCGCCAGCGCCGGGCGTCCTGAGGGAGCGTGAGGGGCGCGGAGGCGCGGGCGCCGCGAGTTGGAGCTAGCGCCCTGGAAGTTGGGGTGGGTCTGGCGCTTCTCGGCCCGAGCGCCAGGGATGCTGCGGGAGCCGCGGCGGGCGCGCGGGCCGGGGCACCGGAGGGTGCGGGAGCCGCAGGCGCGGGGGCGCTCGGCCGCCCGCAGTTGTCGCTCGGAAGCCGCATCCCGGCGGCCCGGCGATGCTTGCAGCTCCTGCGGCGTTGCTGCAGCGCGGGTCTCGCCCGCCGCGCCTTCCCGCCCCGCGCCGCACCTGCTGCAGCGAGAGACGCGCGGGCCGCGTCCCGGCCGGGGGCTGCGGGGCTGAGCTCAGGCCGGGGCGCGGGGAGCGTCTGAGCCGAGTCCGATGCAGGGAAAAGAGACCGCTCGGGCTTCAGGGAAGGCACCTCAGAAAAGCAGAAAACGAAACGCAGACCCGGCGTGGTAGCGCAGGCCTGTGATCCCAGCACTCCGGAGGCTGAGGCAGGAGGATCGACCGACAGGAGTTCCAGACAAGCCTGGGCTACATAGTGAGCTCAAGGCCGACCTGGACTGTATAGTGAGACCCTGTCTCAAAAAAGCCAAAAAAAGAAGAAGAAGAAGAAGAAAGTGAAACAGCGTTTCAACGGCAACTTTGAGCTTTACTGGGGATCGGATGGTTTTCTTGCAGGGTAAAGTTTGGAAGTGAAACAGTTTCCTAATTTAGGATTTTCACCTTCCCTGCAACCGCAGCCCCCTTTAAATCTTCATTATCATCTGTTGCAAATAATGGGCCTGTGAAATTAGCATGGAAATACGACCTCCTTTGGGCCCTGCACTTGAATTCCTTATTTTCTGTTAAAGTAGCTGCGTGTGTGGGGCCCGAGGTTAGGGGTGTGAGCTCTTTGGGCCCGTGATTCCATCTTGAGATGTCCTCCCAGCGTTTGGTGTAAACAGGGAAAAAGGATCAAATTAGGATCCCGAAAGCAGTTAAGAGTAGTTAAGCACGTATTTGTACACTATTTCAAAAGCCCATTGAGGTTTGTCCTAAAACGTAAAATTTTGTACTCTTGAACTGAAATTTTTTTATTCTGTTTAGCGTCTAAAGGAATTTAAAAGATACTAAACACTGTGACACATTCAGGCTTTCTTCCACCCTCTTGGATTCTGTGGGTTTCTGTGACTATGCAGGGAACGGAGGTCAGATTTTGCGTTTAGAGTTATTGGAAGTATCCAAATTGGAATTGAGACATTTGAATATTGAACAGATAGACTGTGGGATGTGTACAGTTTAGAAAGTTAAAATGTTTTAGCTATTGCGCGTCGGTCTTGAGTTTTTTGTAAAATCTTGCTTCTGCTTTTTAGCTTAAATTTAAGTAATAAGTGATTGGCATTTAGTATTGTATACAGAGACTTTTACTGTTTAAAATGGAAACTGTTAAATATTTGGGTTAAATACCCAAAATGTTTGCACCTGACCCCCCTCCTGTGTCAAACTTCTTTCTCTACACACTCGAATTTCTGTGTATAATAGCATACTTCATTTTCTGCTGATTGGGCTGTTGGCATCAGAGTCTGCCTGCACTCTGTGTGTCCCTAGCACCAGACTGCTTAATGTGTTGGGGGGGGGGGCTGTGAAGGTTCATTGGATTTGGTTTTTGAATGATAAAAGTGCAGAAAAAAGCACCGTTTTGGCTACTTGATAGCAGAAAAAAAAAGGTGCTTTGAAATTTCCTCCCTCTTCCTGCAGGCTTAGGCAGAACAAACATGGGTGCCAGGTTCTACTGAAGTTGTCTGCTGAGGGAGATTAGAGGCTGGGCGTAGGCCCAGGAGTGCAGCCTGGATAGGAAGTAAATTATGAGTTAAATCGTTCACTGATTCAGTGTTGGGGACAGTCTTGCCATTGTATCCAAGCTTATGATGACAAGCAACTAAAATATAGTGAGTCTTTAAATACTAGCTTTCTGACAAGCAGATGGTTGTGAAAAGTGCAGCTGCATTCACAGCACTTTTAAATACCGTTTAAAAATTCACTTTTAATGGACTTTTACCTATCGTAGAAAAAAGATAATTTTTTTAGTCTAAAGTTGTACTTCTTAGCCAAATCAAGTTCTAAGTGTGGCCTCTGTTGCTGTAAAGTTAGCTGCAGTGGGTTGATGTATAAGTGCATAGGTGTAATACTGATTGTGTTGCTCATGGCTTACACCACTTAGGAGTGAGAGTGAAGAATTCAGATCACCTGGGGGCAGAAACTGCCTTTTCAGCTGCTTTATCTTACAAGATCTTCAGCTAGATTCAGTCTCTGCTTCAGGAGAGGCATGCTAGAGACAGAAGGAAGGCCCAAGAGAAAGAGAGCCCTTGATTTAGTGAGGAGTTGAAGATCAGAGTAATTACAGATTCTAGGTCTCCAAAGGGAGAAACAATAACCAGGGCCTTTCTAGGGATAAGGGAATACATCAGGGTTGACATGGAGAGGTGCCAAAGCACATAATAGGCAAAATAGCATATCTAAGAGGGAGCAGAGAAAATTCTAGGGCCCATTGTGTTCATTTCAGTCAGTAATTTGTTCATTCAAAAATATTTTGAGGTTGGGGATTTAGCCTGACGGCCTAAGTGCCTGCCTGGGAAGTGCAAGGTCATGAGTCGATCCCCGGATCCAAAAGTATGTGTGTGTGTATGGAAAAAGAGAGAATGAGCTCTTCTGGTACCAAGTACAGTGCCTGACCCTCAGCATGTTACAGTCATCTCTGAAGGGACAGGATACTGTGATGGCTCGATGAAGTAAAAAAAGAAAACTTAAAAACTATTTGTAGGGAATAGGTAGCATTTACAGTACTCGCTGCAGCTATATAGGGAATGCTTTTTTCATTCTTACCTAAATGGCATATAATGATTGTGGTGGTTTGTAATTCCTAACACTTATCACCTGCCATTTCCTCTTATATTTTATTATGTAAAATAACATTTAATACCTGTTAGAGGATCTGTTTGTTAATGTTAAAAGAACCCAGCTTGTTACCAAAAAAAAACCTTTGTTAAAATAAGATTCAACATATATCAGCTTTGCTGTACAGACAGTTCTTGCTTATTAAAAGTATATAGATTAAAATATTCAGAACAGAGAAATGGTCAAAGGAACCGCCAACTTGATGACATGGCTTTTATTTTCTTACCTCATAATGTGTAACAACATAAAACTACATGTCTACTGCACAGTACAATCAGCAAAAATTGCAGTACTGTCTAAACAAGGTATGCTGCACAAAAAGACACTAAGGCTCTATCAACAGGATGGATAGAGCTGGGCCTGGGATGTAGCTCAGTGGCGGAAGCACCTGTCTGGCAAGTGCAAGGTTACCAGTGTGATTCCTGTTACCAAAAAAAAAAAAAAAAAAGGACAGAACTGTACCAAAAAATGACAGGTCATAAGTCTCCAAGGTGGGTCCGAAGTCCAAACAGTTGTGAAACAGGTATGTAATGAGGATGATCTGTATTAGACATCATAATGTCAAAATAGTTCAGTGAAAATGATTTCTTAAAAACACAGGGCAAGCCGGGCGCAGTGGCTCATGCCTGTAATCCCAGCACTCGGGAGGCTGAGGTGGGAGGATCCTTGCGAGTTCGAGACCAGCCTGGGCTACAAACTGAGCTCAAGGCCAGCCTGAACTGCATAGTGAGACCCCGTCTCAAAAAAAGACCAAAAAAAAAACACCACAGGGCCACCAACTGATCATCACATCAGCAGTTTTCAGGCAGTGTTATGTCTCACCTGTCAAAAAAGGCAGGGATAAAAATAATTCAGAACGCGCCCATCACTAATCAGGATTGCGGGGTTGGGGGTGAGGTGTGGCCTGATGGGCAGGTACAAGCTCATGGGGGCCCTTTAGTCCCTGCCATCCGACACCCCGCAACAGCCCCCACCCCTAACCCTAGCCATGTGGCAGCAGAAGAGGACACTTGAACCTAGAGAGCTAAGTTCAATTCCTGGTACCGGAAAAAAAAAAAAAAAAAAGAGGAAGTGATTAATTCAAGGTCACAAGTGTTGGAGTGGAATCCAGGCCTTCTCATTTCTGTGCTGACTGTATTATCTTGAGTTCCACGACACTCATGTTATGGATGAAGCCCCTGGGTATTCACCACACCACCCCGGAGCCTCAGACATGACTCTTCTCCCTTCAAGGGACCACAGAGTCTCACTGTATTCCCAGCTGGCCTGCAATTCAAGATCCTCCTGCCTCCAAAGATCAGGGATTACAGCTTGCCTGCTACGCCTGTGTGGTGTATGTCATTCATGCTGCTGGGGAACCATTGTGCTACCCCATAGGGTCCCTCACCAATGCAGATGAAAACTGAGCTGCAAGGTGAGAGAGCTGGCGACCACGGGACATCTTGTAGCTTCCTGGATCTCACCATGCCTTAAGCTAATGAAACCCTGGATGTTTCTTTTACATGGGTCTACACCTTTTTTATTCCCCAGCTCTTAATTAGAATGTGATTTGGGGCTACTCAATGCCATAAATTATATATAGTTTTCATGAAGAAAAAAAAAAGATCATGATTGCAAAATAGATGCTATGGAGATATGATCTTTAGCAAATCAATAAAGCATCTATGCGTGTATTTCCTCACATGCCCTTTCCTGGCATCTTAGCAGCTTCCATGAATTCTTCATGATCACATTGATCACACAGTTGATATTGCTGGAAGCTGTGTTTCAAATGTAGAATTCTGGCTCATTCATGAAAGAGCTTCTACAAGTCATTGTAAGGGACCAATGGTACTAAAATACTATTAATAATCACAGAACGTTGAACCTGCTTGACTAAAAATTGTTGGAAATGCCAGATATCCTTGACAGTGAAACTGCCACTGCTCAGTCCACCTCTG